CGGTCGTTGTTATCATCATGTATGACGAGTAGTCTATTGTTGTATATTGTCCTGTATCTAGGCATGCGGTCGTATAATTATAGTACATATATTTGCATGTGTTTTTATTAGCGCATCATCGCGACATATTTGTGCAGATTGGGCTATTCTACACAATCTTCCAAATGACAGTTGAACGTGTTTGTGTGGATCCTTCTTGGCTTTCTGTATCCTTGAAGCAAGTTCAACTGAGTCTTCGCTTGAAAAAGATTGGATAGACTCTTTCGCGATACTTTGCTACCACGCGCAGGAACCACTGCACTGAGACCACGTCCGGATGCACATCGGGATCGTTTGTTCAACGATTAAGGAAATTAACTACAGTACTATTTTTTGAATTGGGGAATGACTTGAACCAGTCTTTCCGACTATTGGGTAACAATGGGGACCGTATGTGTCATAAACATACCACACAAATGCTCGTGATGATCAGCTGGTAGATTGTGATGTTCCTGTAGTCCAATTGAATATGTATTTCGAGACAGAGCAATACTTCCAGCATGCCAATGAATCTGTGCAATGTTTCTCTCAACCTCCAGCCGAGCCCACCCAACATCACGGCGATGCTCCAGATAGCTAAAGGCGATAATCTGTACGCGCTTATTGAAGACGCAAGGACAACCCTCAAAGGCGCGCCAGCGACAGGGAAAGACCGTATGGCTAATGAAATGGTATGTGTATTTAAGGCAGATGTATATGGTGGTTTCTACTTAGATTTGTTTATGTGAATGGGGTTTTCTGTAGGTACCTCCATGTTGTCAGGTTTGGAGGTTGTGTGTAGAGGTTGTACCACCTTTCAATGGTGCTCCAGCGACAAGAAATGTCCGCATGGCTACCGCAATGGTACGTGTACTCAACGCATATGTATATGGATGTTTTCTACTTCGATATTTTATGTGAATTGGGTTTCCTGTATGTACCTCCATGTTGTCAGGTTTGGTGTATGTTGTACGCGTTAGAGTTGTAGGCGCAAGACTCGCCTTCAAAGGTACGCCGGTGACTGAAAATGTTCCTATCGCTATTGAAATGGTATGTGTATTCAACGCATATCTATATACATATATATATATATATATATATATATATATTATGTGTGTTTTCTACTTACACGTGTTTTCTACGTGCACGACTTTCCGTGAAACAGTTTCTCTGTATGTTCATATATGTTGTCGGGCTTGGAGATTGTATGTGTATGTACATGTTGTTTGCGCCTATTGAAGACCCCCCCCCCCCCCCCGATCCGGCATGGTCAATGTCATGGTGCGTGCGGTCAGCGTGATGTCTTTTTGTATTTTACTTGTATATTGAGCAAATACCAGCCTTCGCCGACTTGGTCTCAGATAGAGTGAGTTCGTGATAATGGCCGGAATATTCGAAATGTTGTTCGTGCATATGTCACGTAAGAGTATGTCGACCCTGTACGTCTTCAACTCTTGCGATGACTTTTGGATATGTTATAGGTATGTGCTTCTCACTAGCATTCATAAATATGAACTATGGATGTCCAACGCCTACGAAAGTACGTCTTTACTCTCTCTGGCATACTGACGTATAAGGGTGTACTTTTTACAGGCCGATTGGAAAACTTTCATGGAAATGTATTCACCGAGGCTTTACTTTGAAATTACAGTGCTGTTGCCAGTGAAATTGATCCATCTATAGTCACTGAGTCCTGCTTTTTTTATTGTGATATATCCTAAAGTTCGATCTCAATTTTATACCTCATACTTTGTGTAGTTGAAAGCAATCTACCAGAACGGTCGGAGCTCCGAACGGCTGTTCGAAGGAATCCGCTGCATGATTGAGTTGGGCATTGAATTCCGCTTCTACCATCTGAACGGCATCGCGTATGTGATTGTGTAGCATATCGCATATGTGGCTATATTGATAGTGAGTGTCATCTGATTTTTCATAGTCAGTTTCCGTGTGCTTTGGATTTATCTGTGCAATATTCGGCATGTTGACATATCTCACACGTATGACTTTATACTACCAACTCAATAATGTCCAATCTCTTTAACGACGTTCTCATACGATCACACACCTTACTAACTGCTGTGTCATGTTTAGAATGTTCATCAAACACAACGACCGCAAAGCGCGGCCCGACCACGACTTCATCCCGAACCTAATCGCGGTGATGAAGGAGGCGCCTCCGACCGAGCTTGTCGACAAAAAGATAGCTAACTGGCAATTGACTCACAAACGTGCTCTAAGCCGAGATAGAGCTGAAAATGAAGCTATCCGTAAAGCGAACGCGTTAGCTGAGGCTAATATGAAAGCGAGGGATCGGTTTGTTGAAAAGACAGCGCGGGTTAGTACTAGCGTGTTACCGGATGCTTCTGCGAGCGAAGGCCAGGATAGTCGTGCAGGGGTGAGCGAGGGGGTCGAAGGTACCACGAGGCCCAAACGATCAAGGGAGGTTAAGGTTATCCATTGGGAGATATAAATATAGTAATTTTTTTTGTTTAGTTCAATATACAGACCGGGGTAGAATTAGTACTAGAGTAGTGCTGGAGCTTTTTAGTGCGAGGGTCACGATAGTGGTGAGGCTGAGGTGTGCATGAGGGGTTATGGTACCAAGCTAGCCGAGACATGAAAGTAGGCGAAGGTCGTACGTGAAGAAAAATAAAAGATCATAAAAGCTCGACTATTTCCTATTGTCAAATCTGATATAGGGTACATTTATTTGGGGATTGATTTAGAACTAGAGTGTTGCCGGGAGCTCCTACGAGCGAAGGCCAAGACTGGAGTGCGGCTGAACTGAGCGGAAGGAGTGAACGTCCCACAAGGTTCAAAAGTCATGGGTGGAGAAGGCCGTTTAGAGAAAAAAATATAGGAGAGAACTAATACTGAAGTTCGCCGAACTACTTTCGTTTATTCTGATACCAGAATCAGGATATGGCAATATAAAACATGGGGATGGAGGCGTTAAAAGAGTGGCATCCACCTTAGGTCGGGTGGGAGTACCTGTGCGATCGTTGGTGTAAGCCACTCAGTACGCTCGTATCACATAGGCACAGACCAGGACAATCCACTGTTGCATCAGCGGCACATTGAAATTAGCTACCTATGTGTACTACTTAGATGATCCAGGATGTATGACTCGACGCACAGAGTTGAGTTCTAATACAGGCACATGGTGATGTATATGACCATGAGTCCATCACACGAGGAGCCGCGCTATTGCACAGTAGAGGATTGCATATCGGTAACCATGAGTGTATTGTCAAGCATGTGCGCGCGTCTGAGTGTGTATTGAGACAACATACAAGCAAGGGTTTCTCTATAACATTTGGATCATGGAAAGGATACTCAAGGTGAAGAGGTGATCGCAAACGTACTTCTATGAAGTGGCCGACAAGAGTAGTTCAAAACACGCACTATTCCTTGTTTTAAGCATGCACACTTAAATCTACACAAGGTAATGATGGAAATCGACGCATTGCGATGTTCTTTTATCCTTTTTTGGGTATGTAGCAGGCGTCTAATCTAAAAAAAATGCCATTTAAATAAGCACAGCGGCTTGTTTGTAATGGTGCTTTCAGCGATGACCCTCCTACACATATCACAGATTGTACCAAAACGGAACGTGACATTAAAATACTACTCATCACGTGCTTCTACAACTTGACAAATCTAGAATTCTCACAGACATATCCATATATATGTATGCGCTTTAGGGTTTGCTCAATGCCCGAGTTGACATATCGGGTCGACCAGACGGCCGCTCTGGGGGCCCTTTGTTGCTTTCGATCGCTTCCATATCTGTTGTTGAACATTCTTGCGGGGTATTGGCCGTATATATGGTCGTATCTTTCTCCACACCAACTGCTGTATCCAGACTACCTGCCTTTGCTGAGTTGGATTGATGTTGATGTTGATGTTGATGTTGGCTGTTACTATCAGTACTACCAGCTTTCTGAGACCCCACTCTATGTTCCTGGCCATTATCCTTCTCACCGGCATTCAACTGGGCCTGCAGAGTGCTTGCCTGGGCTTGTCTGGGTCGGGGTACAGGTGTGGGCGACGGCGTGCGCGAGCTTCGCGACATCATGGAACCTGTATTTGTACGCACCAGTGTGTGCGTGATTGAGTGTACGGCGACCGGGATTGGGAGTGCGAGCGAGCGTGTGCTCGATCGTGGTCGTGTGAGCTGGCATGATTGGGCGAGACATACCCACTGTTGGACCGACTATGCGCCGAAGTGGTCGAGGATGCACTGGACGAGCGTCTATGTGCAGGGAGCGTCTCCTTCGTGTCCGAGGTTCCTTCGGTGTATGGCTGTGCGTGTGTATGGACGTGGCTCTGTGTGGGTGTGAGGGATGGCGATGGTACTGAATACCCCGGCAGCGTGCTCTCTGGCGTTGCACGGAATGCCTAGGGGGCATCCAGTGGGGGAGCTGATGCTCGGATCTCTTCGTGTACCGATGTTTGGTACAGTGGGCCCTGTAAGTGCAATGAAGCGACACAAAAATGTACTTACATATGAGTTTGGGACGTCAAAAGGGGCTGACGTTTGTAATTTGGGTGTTAGGGTGTCCGTTAAAAGGGGCTTGGGCTTGGAGGCGGTGCTGTAAGGGTGATAAAGCGGCAGACGAAATATATGGAAGATCTTGGAATGTTGGCGGAGTTCTTTAAAACTTTGAGGCGATGTCTTGTAGAGCAAGCATTGCAAGATAAGGGTGTGATAAAAACGGAAGTAAAGTATATGCATGACCTTGGGAAAGCGAAAGGGTACTTGTAAACTCTGTACAACATCGGACGATCGGACGGAGAAGTCCAGTCAAGTACGACGAACGATGAGAAGAAGCCAAGAGTGATGAAGATATCTTGGCATAAGGTATGTATTTCTGAGACTTGTCGTTGTTCTGGACGAGAAGTGGCAAAGGTTGATGAAGATAGGTGACAAAGGTGTGCAACATTGATGTATGCAACCAACGAGCCGAGTACGGTTGAAGATTAGCAATATACGAAACATGTTACCCAGCTTTCATAAGAATCCAAAGTTGATATATACTTTATTCGGATAGATTCCATAAAAAAAAAATGCGGTATGACGTACACAGACAATATCAATCTCAGGCTTTTTCCTATCAACATTTGGTCTAAGATATTGTTCCACACATTCCCACACCATCACCTGGTATGATATCGACGAGAACCTTGGACCGGCACTGGTTACAAATCCCATAGACATGGTGGGCCCCAAGGAGTCGCACCTCCCCGGCCGGGTACTACTATAAGCAGCCACCCTCGGACTACTCTGCGATGAGCTCGTGCCCTGAGACATATGCGTTTGCAAGTTGCGTGCACTTGTGTCGCCACCGCTCTCCATGATCGCGCCAGCGGGCATGCTCTGACTGTGGCTCAGGCTATCCGACAAAGGCATGGTGATGAATGGCTGGGACAAAGCTATACTAGCCAATGTTTCCGAGATGGCTTGAATGATATCCTGATAGAAAATTTGCACCTCGTGCATCTGTGCGATTTGCAGTTGGTTGTAGAGCTGCACGCGCCTGGTCTGTTCCACTTTGAGTGCGGCGAAGGCCGTCTGTGTGGATGTACCAACAGGTGAGGACAAACAGGAAGACAAACAGGAAACGAATATGCATCGGAAGGTGTACTTGATTGAAATATAGAATATAGATAACATTATCTGTGGTGGCTTAGCTTCAATATGACGAAAGGTACGTGGGTAACAAGATACGGGTTGTGCAGATCGACTATCTCCTTATAGATGACTGATCCAATGGTCGCCGTGGACGACTTGCACGTGAAGAAGTGGTATGAAAAGCCGACAATGTCTAGCTGTACAACTAGGTGACATCGTGGAACAAACTGTGTGTAACTAAATATCTCATCATGCGGAATTCCCAAGAAGCCACGTGGACATAGAGCTCTGGAGTCATTTATAAAAAAGAGCAACAAAAACGAAGTAGACGCACGAAGTACCACATGGCAAGGATTGCACGCACGGACGCATATGAAACAGAATACCGCGGACCATGTACTTTTTTGCTTATCAACACTCGGTATATGCCATACACTTGAATTCACACCAGTACACGCGCATGGCTTTCGTAAATCGTTACTCTTCTGAAGGCATTCATCTTCGGTTTGTGAGTCTCTTTGATATCGTCATGGAAGTCGGAGTCGTTATTGTGCAGGACGAATGCTTTCATTTTATTGCCCACATTCTTGTGTTTCAGTTCGCTATAGTCTGAGGGGCGAACCGCGGTGTCAGCTTTTTCGCTCTTCCTGATACATTATGATCGGTTCTTTCACGAGCGAGCACTCATAATATGCTACGACTACATCTTAGTATAATCGAACAAAAGCGCACATGACTGCTTAATAAAGCTCCAAGTGAGCATTTTACACCTGAATATATCCTAGTCATTCAGATAGTAGTGCGAATTCTATCAATTCTTAATGTGAAAACGTGCAACATTGTGTATATTCAAATTACTAAACTTCATGATAAGGTGCCATTTTTTTGGGGGTGGAGTTTCATGTCCCTTCCTATACAGGCTTTCTACTGAGGCACCACCACTCATATCTTAATATCAGGCATCTTTGATACACAATAACATAGATCTGATCACCCTGAACAGACATTTTGCACGCGTAGACATACGTTTTCTCCTTCTTGTACTTCTTCGCCAATGCGGCAGTCTCACCTGCATCCATACTCTGCAGTTCGTTCCTATCTAGCTCATGGATGGCCAGATAGCAACCCCTTTCCTCTGCAAATATGGTGTTATAAACTTTAGTTGTTTTGTCACATAGCTTGGCCATCAGCTGATCATCTAGAGACTTGATGAATTCCTTGTCCTCTACCCGATCAAGTTGGCGTTTTTTCACCCCTAACACTTTTCTCTGCCGTTTCCGCTCTTGTTTCTCGCGTTCGACGCACTCTTTTTCTATATCTTTGCACTCCTTCCTATGCCATTTATTGTGTCGATTGTTGATCTGACGTCACGGAGAGAAAGGGAGAAGACATGCATGTATATGCGAAGAATAAGCACACAAGAAAAGCGTTGATGACGGTTTTCCGAGTCATGGGATATAAAGTTATAGTGAAATTACATAAAATTGTCCCGTCTACACAAAAGCCAACTCTGGAGTCAAGTGTGACAGCCCTCCGCTGCACATATAAGCGTCTTTTTCTGATTATTGGTGGAGAGCAAACCAATATCGCCGACGACATAAAGAAACACTGTACAAATTTAAGTTTGTACTTAGTAACACATCGATGTATATACACTGGCCAGCTCGATAAGACTTATAAACGACTTCCTGTACGACCAAATGAAGCCGAATATCCACTCACTTTCTTATGAGCGGCCCGATGCTTCATCACTTCGGCTTTATGGTGTTCGCCGATGGGCGTGCCGGTGACTAATGGCAACAGCGACCCACACATATCAATAGTGCCAAACTTACTGGCGGAATGACCCGTGCTCAGCATTTTCTTTGTCAAAGGGAATAAAGCCTGTACCGAGAGTCTTCGCAGAGAGCTCGCATGTGTCATCGAAAGGGCGTCCATACTCAAGACTGATGCGCACACTCGCCCAGTCAACAACTGGGACGCCGGTGGCCTGCGAGTGATGATTTACGCAAAGGTGAGATCAAGACACGAAGATGTCGCGAAAACAAACTCAGGGCATGTGTAGATATATTTAGATTTTGAAACACAAAAAATGGAAAACACGATGATGCTCTCACGGCAATTGAACATCATATATATATATATATAATTATATATACAAATATATATATAACAATATATATAACAATATATAACAATATATAACAATATATAACAATATATAACAATATATAACAATATATATATATATATATACATTTATATAACAATATATATATAACAATATATATATATATATATAACAATATATAACAATATAACAATAGAACAATATATAACCATATATAACAATATATACCCATATATCC